TTTTGACTGATGATATGGAGCTTTTCCATCGTCTCTTTTCACAGATATAGTTAACTTGATTTTTATGTATTCCATCTGGCAAGGTCCATGTATCTCTTAGGCTGTCTAAAGAAGGTATTTGAAATGAACAAATCATGGATTTTGCAGAATTCTATCATGTGATCTGCAGCATCATTTTTATTGCCAAGGCCACACTTTGCAACTACTGATACTTCCTCTTTGCTCCCAACCTTTGCATTCCAATCACCAGTAATGAGCAATACATCTTGATTGTGTGTTTAATCAATTTCAGATTGAAGAAGTTGGCAGAATCCTTCTATTTCATCCTCACTGGCTTTAATGGTTGGTGCCTTTATTTGAATAATAGTGGTATTAACTGGGCTTCCCTGTAGGCACATGGATATTATTCTATCACAGACAGTAATGTACCTCATGAATGATCTGGATATATTCTTTTTGATGATGATTGCAACACCATTCCTCTTCAATTTGTCATTCCTGGCATAGTAAACCATGTGGTTGTCAGATTCAAAATGGCCAATACCAGTCCATTTCAGCTCACTAATGCCTAAGATATCTATGTTTATGTGTTTCATTTCATTTTTGACAATTTCTAAAGTTCCTAGATTCATACTTCGTACATTCCATGTTCCAATTATTAATGGATGTTTACAGCTGTTTCTCTTCATTTTGAGTTGTGCTCCATTTGCTAATGAAGGTCCTGCGGGCTTTTCTCCCATGGACTTTACTGCATTAGCATCATTACGGTCAACTCTACCTTGAGGAGGCAACTCTTCCCCAGTTGCATTTTGAGTCCCTTCTAACCTAAGGGACTTATTTTCCAGCGTTATATCTGACAGTGTTTCTCTGATATTCATAAGATTTTCAATGACTAAATATTCAGAAGTAGTTCGGAACTCCTTCTTCCTAGTCTGTCTTCGTCTGGAAGCTCATCTGAAACCTGTCCACCATGCGTGACCCTGCCGGTATTTAAAATACTGGTGACATAGCTTCCAGAATCACAGTAACTCACAAGCCTCCACAGTATGACAAACTGACAGTTGAGTGTGGAAACTGTACCAAAATTAATTTGTTTTAAAACATTACAAAATTTCTAAGGTTTTATCTGATTTAAATAAGCAAGTTACTCTACTTTAGAGTGATCACAGTACAATGACCTTAAAATGGCTGGTAAATGTGTAGAGGAAGTTATTGTGAAAATATTTTTGAAAAACTCAACTCTATCTATAATCTTAGAGAAAATGTGCATAAATGACTTTGAATGTGGACAACATCTATATAGTTTTATAAACAATTGAAAGTATTGATTTGATTCATTCAATGGTGAGATTGTGAGACTTATTCTCTTGGATTTATGTTATTTTAATAGTGATTTAATTATAGTAATATTTTGAAGTGATAAAAATAAAAATGGCCTAGTATTTTAGCTCATTTTGGAGCATATCAGAAGGATGCTTATAAAAATTACATTCAAAGTACAATTAACAGGTTTTCTCAAGTGTTCCTACATGTTGTTCACTGTGATCATTAAGTCCAGTTTTCATTAGTCTATCTCAATAACGTTTTTGTTCTTGGTTTTTCTCACACAATCTCTATGTACTAATTAGAACTTTAGAAGACAAGCATAAGAGCACAGTAAAAAAAAAAAAAATCACTATATATTTGAATAAACAAAGAGAGTAGATTGTCAACTTTAGTTAACTCTATAGACTAATGGTGGTGTTATGTGCTGTCAAGTCATTTCCCAATCATAAGGACCCTGTACAGTATTTACCAGGCTGAAAATTTTTATGGGAGAAGAAAACCTCATCTTTCTCCCATGGAGCAGCTGGCAGCAGTTAGTAGCCCAACTCGTAACCCATTACACTACCAGGGCTCATTTGTAGTCTAATATTGTTGTTGTTGTTATGGGCTGTCAAGTCAGTTCCCACTCATAGTGACTCTATTTAGGGTTTCCATGGACCAGCTGTTGGGTTTGAAACTTCAAGCTTTTGGTTACCAGCCTAGTGCTTACCATACTGTGCCACTGCAAGACTTATAGAGAATATAGAATTTAAACAAATAAACAACACATAGATTTAGCTTATTTCTAAGAGTTTCTTCTGAGAAAACAACCTTTAAGGTAATGTCATTGTCTTGCACTTCTTTTTTCCCAAGGTCTTTCCTATTCCAATCACAACAGGTGACATTGTCAGAGGGAATGACACCAAAATGAATGTCTATAACATTTTTGTTTGGTGTTTCAGCAGAAATTTATTATTTTTTATAGTTAGTTATAACAAAAAAAAACAATTTTTGTAAGCCTAGCTTACATATTTCAGTACCTCTACAAGGCTAAAATTATATGCTAGTTTTCTTTTTGAACTTTCTGATATACTACAGGAGTCCTGGTGTGGCACTGTATGATATGCACTGGATTGCTAATCCACCAACCACTTCTATCAATACAGTGTCAATATTAAGTTGGAACCGACTCCGTGACCCTCAACAACAACAGTACACTGTAATCAGAACTATCATTATTACTTAATTGCAATAACACTTCAAATCACATGGTTTCATTTGCATGTACTACAAACATGATGTTATTTTTGTTTGTGCATGTGCTTTTATGTAGTTGATTTTGTCAAAATTTTTGGTGTTTTCACTACAGTATTGTTGTAATTAGTATTTGCAAAACTATAACAATAGCATTTTTTAAAATGAATTAGTAATTAATAGAAAAAGAAAACATTTTTAAAAAGGCTTCCACTCAATTACTAATGGAATCCTGGTATGGCACTGTAGGATAAGTACTGGACTGCAAGGTCAGTTTGGACCACTAGGTGGGTGGTTCAAGCTCATCAATTGCTCTTCGGAATCCCTATACTGGGTCATTATGAGTCAGAGTCAACTTGACAGCACTTAACAACAACAATAACATTTACTAACAATGTTGTAACTAACAATATTTTAATTCAATGTAGAATGATTTTACAAAGCAAATTGTTTGTTAGAATCTATATAATCTAAGAAATATTACATGCAAACAATCTACAATTATATTTATCACATATTATTCTATGATTAAAATTGATGAGAAGCATTATGAAGAATTGTGTATGGTGTTGTTGGTGAAGAGGTCCATATTGTGTGGGTAACACCATAAGTTACTGCACTGAGTGAAATCAACTCAACTCATTCCATGAGAAGAGGGAGGGTGGAGGGAGTGTAGAAGGGGCTGGGTGAGAAGTTGTTTGTATTTTATAGACATCATCAAGATTCCATACTTTTCAATCTTTTGAAGTCAATTAAGATTCCTCTCCAAAACCTTTTCTCATATGCCTTAGAGAGAGGTTCTTGGAAAACCTGAGTTGAAGCTAATTTTATAGCAGTCTTCTCTTAAGTAGTTTGCAGTTGACTATGTTGAAATTCATAGTCAATTGTATAAAGTGCCTATAACTTTGCATGTTTATATCATCTAAGAATATCAGTTATACTGTTGGCATTGATTTTGTAGCTTTAATCTCTAACTGAGACTTTGTAAATGTGATCGTGGAGGCAACATAACAGCCTCTAGGTTTGTGGTACTAAGTACCAATAAAAGTAATTTTATGTCTCTTGAATTTTATAGCTCTTCATTAGAACTTTAGTATAATGGAGGCAGAGAAATCAACTATTTTACCTACTACCTAGGAATAATGCTATTATGTTGGTTATTAAAATAGTAAGAATAAAGGCCAAACAATACAGGACCTTCTGATCTATTTGACCCTGTGATCATTTAACACTAATTGGGTGCCCACTACAGCTGTGCGCTTTGAGTTTCCAATGCACTATATCCTCTTTACTAAGCAAAAATGATTCACTGAATTAGATTTTTGTTTATTTTGTTTAAATTATAACAGTTATTTTCGACCAGACTACCAACTCCTGTTGTGATTGGAGATCAGCAGCCTAAATATAAATAAATAAGTACTTTTTAAAAATAAGAAGTCTAAAAATTATTTTATTTAAAAAAAAAAAAAAAATCTTGGCATAGAGCTTGAGGGCAGTTACTTAACAAGGTTCTGGGTTTCCTCGCGCCCCGCCCGCATACCCTACCACAGCTATATGCTCTTGGCCTCTCAGTCGGTCAATCCTCTGGTTAGCAATCCCTGTCCATGGGTCCGTGCTCTGCTTGGCCGCTGCGCATCTGCCCTTCTTTTCTGACTCCGCCCCGCATCTGTCCGGAACCGCCTCACGTCTGAGCTGACCCACTGCGCGTCTGTCAGCCAGTCCCTCCGGACCTGCTGCGAGCTGCCGAGATGACCGCGCGTCATTTGGTCCGTACCCAGTGGGCATCTTGGGTACCTGGGCGGTCTCCGGTTCCCTGCGCGCGTGTTGTGTGTCTGTCTGTCTCTCTGTCTGATCCGCTGCCTGCAGCCTGCCTGCCGGTGCTAGTACACCAAATGCCTAGTCTGCCGTTTCGTTGATGCTGAGTGTGTGTAGCGGCCTTAGTCAGCTGCGAGACGCCTGTGACTGTTAGGCAGCCGGCGGAGGAATACTTGTTCGGCCCTTGCCCTTGTTGATCTAATTTTAAACAACAGGAGCTCAAGGCCTGTATTTGTTCAGAAAACGGGTCGCGAGGCCTCTGTCGGCAATGCTATATTTGGGGATTCAGACAGCTGCTTGATTTCTTGCAATTTAACAAGGAAAGGGTAGTTTCTTTCTTAATATTTGCTTTTGAAATTGATTTTAAACCTGAACGGGTGAAAATCATAAGCCCCTTTAGAAAGAAAAGGTTACTTATTGGGGTGCCTTTTTGTCTGATGTGTTTGTTCTGAGCCTGCTGACCAGCTGTTTCTGAACTTCATTTTCTCAGCCTCAACAGTGATTCTGAGTCTGCTTTAAGATTCCTTCGCCTTGGCTTTTTCTGTTCTTCGTGAACAGCTGCTTGGCCCATAACTTAAAGAAAGCAGTCATTTTCTCTCCCAAGAGAGACTCCTCCCTGTGTTTACAGAGATGGAGAGTGGGGAGCCTAATCCTGCTGGCAAGAAAAAGAAGTACCTCAAGGCTGCACTGTACGTGGGTGACTTGGACCCAGATGTCACCGAGGACATGCTATATAAAAAGTTCAGGCCTGCTGGCCCTCTGCGTTTCACACGGATCTGCCGTGACCCAGTGACCCACAGTCCACTGGGCTATGGTTATGTTAACTTCCGCTTTCCTGCAGATGCAGAGTGGGCGCTCAACACCATGAATTTTGATTTAATTAATGGCAAACCATTCCGCCTCATGTGGTCTCAGCCAGATGACCGGTTAAGAAAGTCTGGAGTGGGAAACATCTTCATCAAAAACCTTGACAAATCCATAGACAATAGAGCCCTTTTTTATTTATTTTCTGCTTTTGGAAACATTCTCTCGTGCAAAGTAGTATGCGATGACAATGGCTCTAAAGGCTATGCATATGTACACTTCGATAGCCTCGCCGCTGCCAACAGGGCGATATGGCACATGAATGGAGTGCGGCTCAACAACCGTCAAGTGTATGTTGGCAGATTCAAATTTCCTGAAGAAAGGGCAGCTGAAGTCAGAACCCGAGATAGAGCAACTTTCACCAATGTGTTCGTTAAAAACTTTGGGGATGACATGAATGACGAAAAATTAAAGGAAATTTTCAATGAATTTGGGCCAACTGAGAGTGTTAAAGTGATAAGAGATGTCAGCGGGAAATCGAAAGGCTTTGGGTTTGTGAGATATGAAACACATGCGGCTGCCCAAAAGGCAGTGCTAGATCTGCATGGAAAGTCCGTTGATGGGAAAGTGCTATATGTAGGACGAGCACAAAAGAAAATTGAACGTCTGGCTGAATTAAGGCGGAGATTTGAACGACTGAGATTAAAAGAAAAAAGTCGGCCTCCCGGGGTCCCTATCTATATTAAGAACCTAGATGAGACCATCGATGATGAAAAACTGAAGGAAGAATTTTCTTCCTTTGGATCAATTAGCAGGGCCAAGGTGATGATGGAAGTGGGGCAAGCCAAAGGGTTTGGTGTGGTCTGCTTCTCCTCTTTTGAAGAGGCCACCAAAGCAGTAGATGAGATGAATGGACGCATAGTGGGCTCCAAAGCCCTGCATGTCACCCTGGGCCAGGCTAGGCGAAGGTGGTGAAAACGAAAACCATGTTGCTCAATTTATTTCAGCCTTGAGCTGATGCCTACTTAGTTTGGGCTACTTTGTGATATGAGGTTATTTTATGGGAATTCACGTTTTTTTAAGTGAAAACGGTCTTTTGGAGGAAAAAAAGTGAAAACTCAGCAAACCCTGTTCATTCTAGTGAAGAATATAGTTTCTAATAGTAGAATTGTCATTTTGTACTATTTTTTAATATAATATCTTTAGGAATATGTAGAATAAAGTTTATTCATCAATATTTTCCCCCTGAATCAGCCAAGGTGAGGTAATTGATTGAGTATATGTATTTGCTTCATTATTTCAATAATACTACTAAATTTAATTTCTTCCATGAAAATGTTCTTGAAATGGTCCTTACTTTTGAATCTATCAAACTTGCTTTTTGATAAATCAGTAAGAGTGTGGGAAACGGTTTGTGAGCCAATGAATTTTTATGCATTAAGTTACTACATTAAGTTACTACAGAAAATGAATATTCATTTGAAAAGACATGCAGTTTCTTTTTCTTTATTTATTTACACTTTTATTTTATTTTAAAAATATATTATGATCATAACACAGACCTAATAGTGGTTTTGACTAAAGCATTCAGAGTTTTCCTTATTGCCTTCATGTCCACAGAAGAGAGTATATGGTTTTTTTTCAATCAGTAACTTAGAAAAGTAACACTTTAGGCTTTGGCTCTTTAAATTATGATTTGATTCTAAAAAATGCTTACTGAGGTATTTCGTATTTAATGACAGTCTAAGGAGTATTCTTACCACTCAGTTCTCTAAACTTCTTAATATATATATTTGCATCATATTAATTAATAAGAGATGAGAAAATGCACTGAATTACATTTATATGTAGATAATTTAATGTTTTTGCTACCAGTCTTTATCAAGTGTCAATATAAAGGGCAAAAACTCCATAGAATGATGTTGAAAAACTGCTTTAAAAAATATATCTTTAATTAAACTTGTCATTATCTCTTAAAAATTCTTGAATATATCAATATGGTATCATTTATAGATGTTTCAAAGTTAATGAATTATCTCCTTTAAGTCAAATGCCTCTATTTATTATATGTTGTTGTTGTTAAGTAGCATTGAGCCAGTTATGACTCATAAGGACCATGTATAGGGTTTCCAAGAGTGACTGGTGAGTTTGAACTACTGATCTTGTGGTTAGCAGTCAAATGCTAACCACACAGTGCCACACTAGAATTCCATTTATTATATAAGAGCTATTAATCCAGTACGGTTCACTTTACATTTTGGATACTTGAAAACTTTTACATTATTTCACCTCTGATTTCTAGCATAATTATTTCTAATGCTTCACCTTAAATTTCCTAGTCTTTCCACTCTTCACCTTTCCTTCACCTTTCCATCCATATTGCTCTTATTATTATTTTGGGGGAGAGGGGATTGTATTGCCTTTTTTTATTTTGTTTTTAGTGTATGCCAGTTCAAATCCATTTTGAAAGTAGGAAATAAATGCATAATTTATGTGACATTTAAATAATTATTTGTTAAAAATCTAATTCACTCATACCAAAGATCTAAGCATAAGATTTCTCGCTCGTCTCAGTTGGTTTTCATTACCTTATATGAAAATTTATTTCATACATAGTTAATGCATTATAAATATAGAATTTTAATATTTTTTTAGCTATTTGACCATAAAATATAAGCTGTTTTATGTAATTGTCTATCTGCAAACCATATGTATGTTCATATAAAATATTTTTTAAATGGAAATTGTTTTTATTGATTATAAACATAATATATGTTCATTGTAAAAAAAATGTAGACAATGAAGACATTTATAAAGAAGGAATTAAATTCCTACCATTGAGAGATAACCACTATTAATATTTTCAGTACATATCTTTCCATTCCTTTTTTCCTAAGTATACGAACATTTTTACAAGAAAAAGAAAGAAAACATACTATATTGTACTCTTTTGTATTTTTTTTATATTAAACTGAACCATAATCATCTTACTATGTCAATAAATATTGATCGATATAATAATTTTACTGATTGCATAGAATTCCATTGTGTGACTGTTCTTTAATTTATTTAAGTAGTTTGTTATTAAGATCAATATGTTTTTAGATATTTTTTATGTATACAAACACGTTTTTGATTAACATTCCTTCAGTAATGTTTCATGAGTTATATGAGTTAGAGAAAAACAAATACAGCATGTAAAATTTTAATTCTGCATAAGAAATAAAATGTGTGCAATA